GTCCTACTTCAAATAGCTTCTAAGTTCTACCGAATTTTTATCCTCCTCCGAGTGATACTCAGCTCCGTACTCTCGGTACGCTTAAAAACTAGCCACATCTATCGTGCGAACGCTAGTGCATAGAGGACAACAGGTGTGTTTCGCTTATATTTTCGAGACCCTAGCCATTGACATGTGTGTTGTGTCTGAGAAACTCCTGACCAAAACTTTAGCTTCATCATCCTATTGTCATCCCCATCAAATCAAGTTTTACTTAAATCTTTCGAGAGATTCTGGACTTGCTGGCACTGGAGCGGCCCTTCGTGAGAGAGAGAACTGAAGTCCCTCTGCTCAGTTGAACCCAAATCGACAGTAAGTTGAACTTGATGTGTCTTAGAGGTTCGCGCAGGGTAAACGGTCACCTCGGTCAGACGAAGCATGTTTGCCGTTTCCGCGTACTTCCCTAGGAACAGGAGACCAGAATTTAGTCAAATATGACTTATCAATGGCTATCCAACCTCTTGCATACAGTGAACCGGGCTGATAGGAATGCTAGAGTAGATCACTTGTACCCGAGCGAGATGCATTCGAGCGGTCCTTTTAAGCTAAATTCCTGCCGCTCAGGAAACGACTATTGGCTCTATACTTTAACCATCAGTCATTCTTCGCCAGTACGAAATTCAGANGATGATCCAACTGCCAGTATACCACTTGACACCCGTCCTCATTAAATCGATGACATCACTATAATCCACAAATGGCGGGGTTGCATAAAAGACTGCCAATCGTACTGGAACATTTCCCTCGAATCTGACCACGCATTAGTTTGCACCACGCTGTTTACGCGTTTCGGTGGGCGTTCTAAACGCACTACGCGACGACGGTTAGACTGTGATAAACTGTCCCAACTGGCATGACTAACTATCATTTAGCTGAAAGCAGGCGCCACGTGAGAATTGTTCCAAGCACCTCAACCTCACGGGAAGAGGAAGAAGTATGGCATGAGTGAGCGCAATGACATTGATCCGTTATGTAAATCAGGGACTGTGTGAATTATAGCCTACTCCAGTATAGGTCAGCCGCTGAAAAGCTATCCACTACGGACTTGAAAATGAATTATTCGGGAACATTTATTCATCAACATATTTAGTGTTTCTTTCATGCTATTAGTAGTACAGCCAGTTGTCGTTGGGACCGATTACATGACATTCGACAGAAATTAAGACCATCGAGTTTTCGGAGAGACTCACCGGCTGTAGTGGCTGCATTAAGCAACGGATTGCCTTTCAGTATATTTTCCATTCGGATGGTCTCTTCAGCTGCTTTTCGTTCAGCGGCCTGACGTGCCAGCTCTTCGGCACGTTCCCGTTTAATTTTAGCCAATTCCGCCAACAGCAATTCTTCATCCTCGTCCTCGTCATCATCATCCTCACCTTCCACGGNCACGGGATTACCACCACCACCACTACCAGTTGCCTCTTCCGGAGCCTGTGATGGACCGTCATCTTGATCTTCATCGTAATCCTCATCCCAAGGATCATCTGCATCTAAATTGGCTGTAGAAACGGCGGGGATCGCGTCCGGTCGAGGCCGTTTCGTCGTGGTCGCGGTTGGGCCGGCATCGGTTGAGGTAGCACTGCGTTTTTCACCCGACTGAGCTGTTCCGGCTGTCAGAGCAGCTGTTGCGGCTGTGTTCACGGCAAGAAAACAGCGCATGTAAGAGCAGAGGAAAAATCACCGACATAAAATACAACCCTGGTAGTGAGTAATCAGGGGGAAACCACGGTAAATAATAATACTAATAATCGATCCGATGTGGTTGAAGTTTTTGTTAAGTTCAAAGATAACCAGTTTGAGAAAAAAGAAATATAAAATATAAGTGGTATGTTTTTTTTGAGCGATCTCGCTAATAGGGTTAAGTGATTAATCAAAAATGCATGGTGGTGGCCGGATGGTAACATCACCAAATTATCACTGCAGAGGACGTTGGCTCGAATCCCACCGCCATCACCTGATTTCCCCCACCCGTTTGTGGTATGGGTAGCCCCGTTTGATTGACCGCTTCTCTCTTCCTGAAAAGTGTATCTTTGCATATTCAATTAAAGGAAGGAAAAGGAAAAAAAATGAAAAGCTTAACGGAGATGTCGGTCAAGTTTACAAATCCACTGTCTTTTAACCTACAACTAGAAAAGGAAGTACGGATGGCGATGGCTCTTTCAATAGCGATTCCCAGTAGACCAAAGCACGAGTAACAATAAGAAGTCGATATTTCATCCAGTGAAGGTATTTTCACTAGAATCGGCTCAAAATTTGTGATAAAAAAGCTCAAGAGATAAGAGAAGTTACGATGTATTGGGTGCTGGTGATCAATCGGTTTATGTCGAGATCTCGGGTGCGTGATCACTGCCACCGCCATCCAACTTTGACAGTGTATACTTTTGCTGTTGTCCGGTTAAATATCACCTCCATCCTTATGCAGCAACGTGTAGTCTGCTATTCCAACGGTTTGAGGTTCAGATTCCATAACTGAACACCAAGTCCACGTGACTAAGGAGTTCACCTTTACTCTTCACCATAGTTGGATGAACAACAGACGGGGTAAGCTCCACAGTCAGGAAGGCCGGTTGTTTATTGATGGAAATCGACAACCTAAGCCCCGGGACCTGAAGTGACGAGCCACATAAGGCCTTACTAACATAGACATGGTTTTGGGTTGGATGGAAGCGAAGCTGCCCACCACAGAAACTCGCTACTGAAAAGGTTAATCGACAGACAGCAGTGAAAGAGCTCCAAATAAAATGCTTCAAACGGAATGTATTGCTTATCGGAATACGGGAGACGCACACAACTGGGATAACGCAGTTTTATTTGGATTCTGTTGAGATAACAACTGATAATCCACCCAAACTAATCGTTCTTAAGATTATAATGAATTCGGTTCCATAAGGAGGACATTTTGTTCGGAGATCCTAAATGAACTTCAAAAAATTGAAACTGCAAAACGCGAATTGGTAGTATCGGGGTTTTTGTTCTGCGAATGTAAATTGCTTACTATTGGGGGGAAAAGTTTCCTGCGTCGGGATTTGCTTGAGGAAGTCGACAATTTGATGGGGGTTTCCCCACAAGGCGTATCCCGTATACTCGGCACCATCAGCAAACAACTAGGCAGATCCGAATTGACAGAGACCGACTCATTAGTTGTTTTGCCCGCGGTGACGACAAACACTGATGACGTTGCTTTGCTGCCCCAAAAGACATCATTCCAGTGCTAACAATATTCCGTCCAGGGTACCTAATCGCCCAATCAATGCAAATGACTATCGCGAGCAGGGTGCTCTGAAGCTAACTGGCTGGGAATTTTCAGCTCGCCTAGACAAACTAGCTCTCATTCGTCTGGTTAAAACCCTGCACACTGGCTTTTCGTTCTCTTGCTTTACGAGAAAAGCTCTAACTACGAGAGGCAATGAACAGGACGTCTTCAGTAGACACTTTTATAGACGCACTACTCTATGAGAGCATTCCTTAGAGCGAGAAAGAGGCCTCACTCGTCATCGGAAAAATCGGAATTTTTCAGAATTTTAAAGTTCAATGCTAAAAAACCAGGGACATTTGTTACGATGAGGTTAACATAATTACGTTCAGTCACAAACCTGATATGAGACAAGGTTCGATACAATAGAACGATCAGCAAACGCGGTGCTATCTTATTTGTATTCGAACATCAAAACTTACATTTTCCGGCCTTTTCAAGGGACAATCGTTTTTCTTTCTCTTCCAGAGCTCGTTTGAAATCTTTGCCCTGTAATTCTTCCGGGCGTCCCTGACCCTCTTGACGAACTTTCAGTTTTGTGTGTGCGGGCAAATCTCGCACCGAATACTGTTTGGACATCGCGCTCAGATCGCCTTCCCATTTCCCGCGTCCACCTTTGGCGGAATCCCATGTTGGGCGACCAGCTGTCGTCATTTCGAAAGCGATAGACCAGCAGTTATGAGCTACAATGGAGACAGAGAAACATGTTGCATGAAAATTATCTTAAATTAATCTCACAAAGATGTATAATGTGAATGCGTGCCTTACTTGTATTGTTTACTTTCAAAAGCTTTGTGAGTAGTATAGAAACTTTCGATAAAAAAAGGAAAGCTACAAAGATACTGTTACAAATGAAAGCATAATGACAAGATGCGGAGGGATCAGTGTGTAAAGATGTGTCAGGGGTTGCACAAATATTGATACGGTATGAGAATATTTTAGAAGAACATGTTGGCTTTTACTACCAGATTATAACAAGTACATGGTTTACATCTGAGTCATCGGGGGTGCCCGGTAGGAGTAGCACCTATGACTCGGAGGGTTGCCGGCCTATTTGGGTATCCTCTGTTCTGCAGTCTTCACCAGGCGGTCAGCTCTCGTCTGTGGCTTC